TTGTATACTTCAGGAAAAAGGGACCTTGTTAGGTAGACATATAATATCATCCTTGACAAGTATATGTACTTTGCAATACTCCATTAATCACTATTCCTAGAGCATGAAGAAAGTTATTATTGTTCTCAAGATCCTGGAAAATTAATGCCTAGGAGAAAAAGACCATGTCATACTTCTCCGTAATTATGATAATGAAGTTTCTCATTGAAAACTTCAACTTGCCACAGCTTCAGACCAAACATATTATTTTCAGTGTCGGCGACATCATTTCCATGGCACAGACACTGCCAGAATTTCAAGGAATTGCTTGGAATTTGGAATTACCAGGTTACCCATTCCCCTATAGGCTATAGTCAACCATCTCTGGTGACCTTCTTGCTCCTACTCACCAGGCCCAGCCTCTTTCTTGGATACACTAGTCCAAACATTAACTCTAGAGCTTTATTTCTTGTCCTGAATTTATCACACCAACCCTCACTGACCTCCTCCGACACCCAGCAGCCACCTCTGTCTTTAGCAAACTTTGATACCTTCCTTGAATTCAAAATGCCAGTTGCTCATGAAAGTAGGCACAAGCAACTGCCATGATCCTCACAGTTCCAAGCCAGAAAGTGACTGGAGTGGGGAAGGTAAGTGAGAAAACTGCCCTATCCTGAGGTGGATAGCTTCCAACTAATTCCATGAATTAGCATTAGCCTCATCGTCACATGTGGTCCCTTCTCTTCAAAAAGCTCAATTTAGAAGCAAACAATCTGGGATAAACACTCCATGCCCAGCCTACAAAAAAACAAACAAACAAAAAACATTAATCTTTTCTCAAGAAAAATTATATTAAGGGAAAAAATACTTTATCGACTCCCTTTTATGAAAACACTCCTTTTAATAACGTCATCAACTTTTAGCAAACATTAAAAAGACTCATTTTTTAAAATCAATATTTTTATGAAACTTGACTTCAGCAATATGAAAGTGCTAAAATAATGTGGCTTATCATTTTTATAAAATCCTTAAACTATAATGCCAAGAATCTTTATAATAAATCCCTTAATAAACTATAAGTCACATCACCATTAGCAATTCCTATTTAAATATACAGTTGAGGTGAAACAAATATTCAAAAGCCATTTTACAGAACAGCAGGGGGCACATTTTAATTTCTTGGATCCTATTCAGTACATTCTGAAATTTATGCTCATAGTTTAAGTGATGAGCTCAGAAATTCTATAAATTTTAATATTTACTACATGTCAACTAATTCAATTATTCACTTACACAACGCTTTAAATAGAATAATTTATATCTACCTACTTTATTCCTAGCCAACCTGTACATTCCCATATTGATTTCTCCCCACCTCAAACAAGTACAAATCAAACTGTAAAACAGGTAGCCACTTGAAATCTCTCTGATTAATAATAAAATCAGTCTCAAAAATCACTTTGAGTCTTGGTTACAAACAGATTGTGAGGCCCCTTTTCCAAGGCTTTTAAAAATCTCCATTTTCCATGGAAACTAGAGAATTTAGAGAAAAACAAAGACCCTTATTTCATTCTCCCAGATTTAAGTATGCACAAATGGATATCAAAATTAAATAGAAACTAAGCAAAAATATTACTAAGGTATTTTCAAAATATTTTATGAAAATATTCTATAGTTAAAAAAAGAAAAGTGGCCCTACTGGTTTGGCTCAGTGGATAGAGTGTTGGCCTGCGGACTCAAGGGTCCCAGATTTGATTCTGGTCAGGGGCATGTACCTTGGTTGCAGGCACGTCCCCAGTGGGGAGTGTGCAGGAGGCAGCTGATCGGTGTTTCTCTCTCATCAATGTTTCTAACTCTCTATCCCTCTCCCTTCCTCTCTGTAAAAATCAAAATATATTTTTTTTAAAAAGTGACTCTTCAATTCCATATCCTTATACAGTATAAATCTTTTTACAAAGAAATTTTAGCTTTTTATTTTTTTTAATATATTTTTACTAGAGGCCCGGTGCAGAAAATTCGTGCACTGTGGGGGGGTGTCCCTCAGTCCATCCAGCACCTTCTCCAATCTGGGACCCCTCGGGGGATGTCTGACTGCCAGTTTAGGCTCGATCCCTGTGGGCAGTCGGATATCCCTCTCACAATCCGGGACTGCTGGCTCCCAGGTGCTCGCCTGCCTGCCTGCCTGATTGCCCCTAACCACTCCCCTGCCAGCCTGATCATGCCTAACGACCCCCCTGCCAACCTGATCGCCCCTAACTGCCCTCCCCTGCCGGCCTGGTTGCCCCCAATTGCCCTCCCCTGCTGGCCTGGTCACCCCTAACTGCTCTCCCCTGCTGGCCTGATCGCCCACAACTGCCCTCCCCTGCTGGCCATCTTGTGGTGGCCATCTTGTGACCGCATGGGCGCGGCCATCTTATGTGAGGGCATGACAGTCAATTTGCATATTACCTCTTTATTATATAGGATTAATTTCAGAGAGAGAGGGAAAGGGAGAGAGAGACAGAAACATCAATGATGAGAGAGAATCATTGATTGGCTGCCTCCTGCACGCCCCCTACTGGGTATCGAGCCCGCAACCTGGGCATGTGCCCTTTACCAGAATCGAACTCAGGACCCTTCAGTCCACAGGCCAATGCTCTATCCACTGAGCCTAACCAGGTAGGGCGAAATTTTATCTTTTTAAAAGTCATTCAATAGAAACATAGAAGGTATAAGGAAATGGAACTATATTGGCAGTACAGGATTCTAAATGATTTCAAATATTTTCATACAAGTTGTGTGACCATCGCCCCAAATGAAACTTAACATACATTACCAGTCATTCCTCCTTACCCAGCCCTAGGAACCACTAAACTATCTTCTGACTCAATAGATTTGCCTCTTCTGGGTATTTCTTTTCTTTGGTTTTGTTTTTTTTTTATTGATTAAGGTATTACATATGTGTCCTTACCCCTCATTCATGCCCTCACCCTCACCCCCTGTTGTCTGCGTCCATTGGTTATGCTTATATGCATGCATACAAGCCCTTTGGTTGATCTCTCCCTCTTCTGGGTATTTCTTATAAATGAAATCATATAAAAGCACACCTCGTTTTAATGCACTTTGCTTTATTACATTCCACAGATGTTACGTCTTTTACTAATTGAAGACAAGAACCTCTTCCAGCAAAAATAATAGGACTCATTTTATTGTAATACTTAATCACTTATAGTGGTGGTCCAGACTGAACCCACAACATCTCCGGGGCATGCCTGTAATATGAGGCCTTTTGTTACTGGCTTCTTTCACTTAGCATGTTTTCAAGGTTCACCCATGTCGTAGCATATATCACTATTTAATTCCTTTTATGATCAAATAATATTCCATTGTATGGCTATACCACATTTTATTCACTCGTTCATCAGTTGATAGACATTTTAATTGTTTCCACTTTTTTACTATTATGAACAATGCTGCTATGAACATTTTTGAACATTTGTGTATAGTTTTTGCGTGGACATGTTTTCATTTCTCTTCGTTATTTAAACCTAGAAGTAGAATTACTGGATCATATGGTAACTTTACATTTACCCTTTTGAGGAACTGCCAAACTGTTATCCAAAGTAGCTACACCATATTTCATTCCCAGCAGCAATGTATGGAGATTCCAATTTCTCCATATCCTCATCAACAGTTGTTATTGTCCTTTTGGTTAGAGCTATCCTAGTGTGTGAAATGGTAACTCATTGTGGCTGATGCTCTGTAACTTAAACCAAGCCACTCATTATTTGAATTTGGCCTCAGCTATTCTTCTAAGCTACACTTTTAAGTATACAATGTCCCAATGATCATTCTTAAAACCCAAAATAAAGCCAGGATAATCTAACATTCTCTTAATAAATGAAGGTATCAAGTCCATGTAATATGCACCATTATTCTATTCCAAATCCTATCAAGCTACATTAATGTCCAACAGCCAATTGTTTCTAAATAAAGATGTCAGGCTAAGCAGCCTATACAAGTGCTACTGCTATAGTGGAATATTTAAAACATATAACAACAGCAAAGTTTTAGCCAGAGCTTTCTAGAAAGAACACTGAATTGGAATTCAGGTTTGTCAATAATCTATGTGTAACCTGACCAATCACTTAACTTCTCTACACCTGAACTTGGTATTCTGAGCCACTCACAGAACTACATCCTTTGAAGTCACTCACAGAGATAATGTTATCTAAGCCTAAAAATTTAATGAAATTTGAAAACGTGTTAACACCTGTGCCTAATGATCTAGCTTTGCACAGCAGAAAGAATTTGAGCCATAGTAGTCAGACAGACTGGGTTCTATTTCCAGCTCTGCCATTCAGTGGCTATATGACCATAGATACATTATTTAATGCCTTGCTATCTCGGTTTCCTGATCTTATTGTAATAATGCCTTCTACAGGAGGTTATGAGGATTTATAAAGCTAGTATAGCTAAAGCATCTGACACAGTGGGCAGCAAATAGTAGACACACGCTAGCTTCCATTCATCTTTTTGCTAACTCTGGGCAAAGTTTCCCAGCAAATAAAGACCTCTTAATAAATGTCCTGGGCCATTTAGAGTTGAATGTGAGTCCTTCTGACCTGTGGGATTCCTTTATAAAGCAGATCCCCACACTATGGTCTATAAATTGCTAAGAGTTATCAACTCTATTAAAACAGGATTTGGGGTGCAGGGGGTGGTTCTTGGAAGGGAGTTCAGGGATGAAAAATAAGAGACCTCATTTTGAATAAAAACTTCCTTGGGACTCACATTGCCTAAGCAAGGAATAGATGCAAAGGAGAGAAAAGTGAAGGCTAAATACATATGACCCCATTGGAAAAGCGGGTGTAGACTGCTGGCTCTAGGGGAAGGGGGAGGGGGAGGGTAGTGTAAGGGGCTGGAGGAAGCAGACAGGGGTGGGGGCTGGCTAGGTGCATAGTAAAGCTAACAAGAGTAAGGTGAGCCCCATCCCAGCTGTGAATTCACTGCTTCTTGGTCTCTCGGCCGCCTTCTCTTACCTGATCTGGTTGTCACGGAATTTGTTGAGATGCGGTTGGTTGAGGTAAATGGTGCGGGCTGGTGTCTCCAGCTGGTCTCCAACAGACGTGGTCCGGGACATCTCATCATCTGCCTTTTTATAGCCCGAAGAAGGACGAACAGGTCCTGCAGAGATGAGGCGCAGGCAGAAAACACAGCACAAAGAAGTCACACCAGGCACGAGCAGCCCAGCCGAGAGCCAGGCTGTGCGCGGGCGGGCGCGGTCCAGAGGGGAAAGGATGCTTGGGGCGATGCAGGGCCCGCCCTTATACCTTGGCTCCCCCTGGAGACCCGCCGCGCAGCTGCTCCCGACTCCTCCCCGCCCCCTCCCCGTGCTCCCCCCTCCCCGCTGTCCCCTGGGGCCAA